GGACTTCAACTCCCAGAATTCCCCAGCCAGCATGGCTGGCTGGGGAATTCTAGGAGTTGAACTCCACACCTCTTAAAGTTCCCAAGGTTGAGAAACATTGCAATAACATTAAGGATCTACAGGTATGTAACCAAACATCCACTTAGCTCAGGTTCTCCTTTCTCCCACGCTTCTTTTAATATCTTGGAGAAAGTTTTGAAAAAGATACCAATTTAAATTGAATCGAGCCTTTGGTCGCCTCTTGGACCAAAGTGGAACCACTAATTCTGACAAACTTTTTTTTTAATTCTACATTTGGGATCTACAACTGAGTGAAACAGAACCAGCTCGCTTCCGGACCTCTCCAAGAGAAGAGGAGGTCACTCATCCCATTGACAGCAACAGCCTGGAGCCCATCAGGTCAGACTCTGTAGGAGAAGCCAACGAATCTTGGCTTGATGGACCTTCTTTGGTGCCTTGAGTCACCTGACCGCTGATGCCTGCCTGGGCTACTCCCCGCAGTTTTCTTGGCAAGATTTTGGAAGTAGCTTGCCCTCGCCTGCTGCTTCTTCCCGGGGCTGAGAGAAAGGGGCTGGCCCAAGGTCACCCCGCCGGCTTCATGCCTAAGGTGGGACTCGAACTCATCATCTCCTGGAGCCTTTATCCACAGCACCAAACCAGCTCTCGGATGGGCCTGAGAGAGAAGGAACGTGCCAGTAACCTACCTTGAATTTGGCAACAGATTCTCCAGAGAAGGTTCTTCCATGCTTCCTTGCATTCGGTGGCTTCTCCCAGGCTTTCCACCAGCTCCTGATCTCACGAGAAGCGGCTGCTGAAAAGATCCGATCCTCCGGAAGACTCAGCTTTCTCTTGCAAAACGGGGTCAGAGTCCTATCGCCTGGGGCTGCTGGGAAGAGTTTTGCCTTTAACCGATTCCTATCGAACCGTTCTCTCCCACTCCCCCCTCCTGATGCCATGCGCTGGAGTTCACTGACAGAGAGGCCGGGCACCTGCACATGGGTGTCTGCTGGGTTAATGAACCAGGAACTGGCACAGGTGCCGTACGGACCAGGGAAAACGTCCGGCGTCACCCAGGCAGCAGCTCCAGATTGGTTTTTTAAAAAAATTTTATTAGCGATTACAAGAAAAAAAAATGACAAAACACTAAACAAAACCACACACAATTAACAAAACAGTCTTTAAACTCAAAGGAAACAATGCTGCCCAGGGTCACCCATTGGGGGAGATGGGCGGCGTGCAAATTTAATAATAAATAAATAAATAAATA